AAATGAATGCATCCAAAATATTCTTTCAACATCTATGAAGCATTTCAAACAATGAAATCTACTAAATAATCTTTACCGAATTTCGCATTAAAATATAAATTTTAATAATATAGAAAGTTTCTGATTATATGTCTTACCTCCTGAAATTTTTTCTTATCAAAAAGCCCCCCCCCCCCCCTCTCTCACAACTGAAATGCACACTACCATGGAAACCCCTTGGATTTTATTAAATAATACAAGATAGATAGCTTAATATCCTATTTTATTAATATAAAAGAGTTATAGCAAAATAAAAAAAAATGACAATTCCAACATAAAAATAAGACAATTTAAAGAAATGTACCGCAAAAAGGTAGATAATGTTGAGATTAATAAGTAGCAAATATTCTAATATAATATAAATTTTATTTCACATTTCATTGTGAATAAATTATAGTAAATATTTAAAATTATACATCTCAAATATTCAAATTTTACTGATGATCCCGTGCCTTACTCTTAGTCTTACCAAAAACCAAAATTACCCTTGTTAAATTTTTTCCCTAGCTTTTTAATATTTATCATTACTACTTAGTTGAGCTTTGTTTACCTATTTTAAGTAAAATTTGTTATAAAATTGTATTGCCTCATAAAGGCGTTAATACTAACCAATGCTGAATATTCATTTATTTAAAGTGTACATTCATTAAAGTAAGCTATATTAAAATTGTATATACATTAAAGTCAACTGTAGTCAACAACATTGACTGTAATAGAAACCATTTATACATTTTATATATCGGTATCGAAAAATTGATAGATATTTTATCATAAAATTTAGTAATTGAGCGACAGCCTTTTAAAAACGTTAAATTTTTAAGTATATTGAAAATAAATTATATATTCGATAATTACTAGCGTCGGATACCTCTATTTATGCACCTTTTAAAAGAATGGCTAAAAAGTAAATTAGCCTGAAAAATATATTAAATCTCGAACCATTTTTAAAAAAAAGATCAAAAAACGAGGCCATCGGTAATATTATCAATAAGATAAATTAATTAATTCGAGATTTGTTACAAACACTATCTCTTACCAAATATCTTTTACAAATTCTAGACAGTTTTTTATTAAAGTATATTGAATTTTTCATTATTTCGATAAAGATTTACAGCAAAATGCATCAGGCGGCGTAACCAGGGGAGGGGGGGGAATCGCATTTTTGACTATTCTGGTAAATATCATTTTAAAATAATAAAAAATTTTACTCTGCGTACCTCCCTCTCCTTTAGCTCTCTCTTTCAAAAACGTATACAATATATTATTATAAAGAATAATTAGTAAAAGTTAATACCTTTTTAAAATAATGACTATAATTCAAAATTTGTAGAAAAAAAGAGGCTTCCCATAATTTCCCATAATTATCTTATAAAATTATGATATAAAAAGACCTCCAATAAAATTTATGGGGGAAATATACATAAAAGTGTTTATACGACTATGTAATGTTTCTATGATGGTTGCTATGCCATTTCAAGCTTGAAAGAAGTGGATAAAAAACCCAGAGAATAATACAAAGAATTGGCTGAAGTTGATATAAATAATAGTTAAAGAATCGACTCAAATTGAAAAAAAGTATTTGTTTTTAGATAAGTTGGACCTTGTGAAGATTATTTTCTATTAGAGATTTTATAAAAATTCTTTCAATATTTTAGTTTGAAAAATTTAATACTTTCTATCTAAACACACCCAATAGAACCCTTATTTCATGTTAAACAAAAAAAAATATTTTAGATGTAAAAAAAGGAACTTAAGGGAATCCTTTTATTCCAAAAACTAATACTATTTTATAATATTATATTTTTTAGCATGTTTGTGATAATGAATTTTTTTAAAAAAATGAAAATATTATTTGTTATTGTGTATCGAATGTTTTAAAATTAATATCTCTGCTAATTATGAATAAAATAATTAAATGAACATAAATGTGTAAATTATTAACACGCCATATTTTCATAGATGGAAAACTGAGCATCGAACATTATGCCCAATTATTAACATGCATAGTTTCAGTGATGGAAGTATATTCCCCAATTTTTTCAATTTATAATCCATTTGTATCAATGGGAAAATCCGTTACTCAAATTCCTTTTTTGCAATTTTTTTTTTGGGATAATTTATCCTGATGTAGATTTACATAAATAATTATCTTTTATATGTTAGCGTCAGTGTGTTTTTTTCAAAATCTGACCAGAAATGTATTCCAGCATGTTTAGAATGCCTATCTTATCAATTATAGATAATTTTACCCTAAACATTTGAGTCATTTATAATTTATATGAAAATATATGGAAGAACTAAAGTAAATAATATTAAGTTCAAATGTTCATGGCAAAATTATCTTAAATGAGGGTAGGTATTCCAAACATGATGGAATACATTTCGGGTAAAATCAGATTTTAAATTTTCAAAAAGGTACTCAAAAATGATTTAAAGTTGAAAAACGGAAAAAACAAACTTATATATATATTTTTCTTTCTTATGATGAATTATAATTAAACGATGGTCGTTTTTTACAATATAACTATTTACCATATGCTGTAAAGTAACGTTGGTGAAAGTTAAGTCGTTACTATTATCTTTTTTAAGGTAAAGGAACGCTATTCGTTACTTGTTTCAAAAAGGCTTTTGGAGTAACGGTAACGTAAAAAATTATTTAAAATTTTTCTTATAAATATTATAAATAAAGCCCAGTTTATAATTCAGAAAAACTTCCAAAGATTTTCATTTTAAATTTATTTATTACATTTTTGTTGCTGAGTTATACTGTCAAGATTGTTAATCTAATTAATATTTAATCAATCAAGGTATGCTCATATATATTATAATTTATCTTATAAAGGATATATCAACACCATATTTATTTCTGCAGATGAAGATGATTTAACTCTGCCATGGCCATGTATACACAAATAAAGAAATTTAAGGGCACTAGTTTATATGTTAATATTTCAACTAGAGATCTGCAAATTTAGGTCCAGTCTGTACCCGACCCGAACGGGCTTCGGGCCGGGCCTAATTCTATTAAAATAATTGGGTTCGGGCCGAGCCTAATATTTTTAAAAAATACAGGCCTGGTCGGGCAGGACCTTGGAATTTTTAAATATATCTAAATTTTATAATGAATTTTTAATGTAAAATAAAATTTGATTTTATTTATTGAAACTAAGCGACATATAACATATGTTTTTTATTTTGAGTAATTATAAAAATTAATTTCTATATTTTAATAAATTCGGGACGGGCCGGAACTGTAATTTTTTTATAAAATAAAATTCGGGCCGGCAAAATTTTTTTAAAAGGCCCGATGCAGATCACTAATTTCAACCTCGAGGTTCAGCAGCTCGAATCTAAAAAAACAAATGAATTCAGATTAAATTCTGTTAAAGATAAAAATAATTTTGTAAAGAAGTTGCATTAAAATTTTTATTTATTAAATCAAGCAAAACCCTCCCATCCTTTGAACCAGTTGAACATCAAACGTTCTTATTTATCTTATCAAAATTTTTAAGTAACGATAATGTTACTTTTTTTGAATAGCGTGTAACACATTTCTTCTTTGGAGTAACGTTTTTTATAGATGATTCTTAGACTAGAATCCTGTTCAGCCAAATAACCGTCCCATTTATAATTGATTATAATTATAGCTTTATGTAACCAGTATTGTTAAACAGCTGGCCAAATATCTTAGTGGAAAGATATTACGCAAACCCTGAGATTTTGCTCATAGGTGACAGAAAGTTTTGGACATCTATTAACAAAATTTCGAGGCATGGGTAATATTATTTTGTAGAAAATTTTAATTTAAAATAGGTTAAATATTTTATTTGGAAAAAAGGACCAAAACAGGATTAATTATTATTTTAAACATAAATTTAGAAAGATTTAATTTAAATAATTTATCGACATCTTTAGCTAAAAATCGTTTGTGCAAATTCGATTAACTTCTTTCTAGTGAATAAATTCAATTTTTTTGTTTTTTAAATATTCAAAAATTTCAAAATTTACTTTTTTTTTACTTTCCCAACTCTGATAAATTGAAGGATTTTAAAGGGTCATAATGGGTTTACCTAGTAAAGAACTATTTAAATGTTTAATATATAACTTTGAATATGAACTCTTGCTGTCTCTGATATAAAAATATATTTCAAATACAAGTAAAATTTAAAACACATGGGCAATTATTTTATTAGTAGATTCTTTATTTCTTTTTAAAAAGCATGCTCCTTGTTTTTTATTAGTCTAATAATATAACATCATATATAAATATTCATAAATATAATAAATATTAGATAAGAGATATATAAAATTATTGTCATCATGATGTGGCAATATCAGAAAATAAATTATACTCTTCATATTGGTAATCAAATTGGAGCATATTTTTTTTTAGAAAATAAGAATTTTTAAAAAAATAATCTAATGACATTATAATAAATTATATTTATAATTGCATGTGCATTCAGGTACCCAATTACATGTATGAGGGTCTTAGTAAATCATTCTTTTTTTTAAAAAAAAATATATGGTATTTATTCTATGTCATTTTTATAAACCAATCTATATGATTTTTTAAAAAAAACACTAAAAAACTTAAAAATAAATTTTATGCCAAAAAAATCATAAAGTTTAAAAAAGAGGTAATTTACGAACAGTTATGGGGGACGAACAAGAAAATATTAGGTATTTCTTTTGAAAAAAATCATTGTTAAAAAAATCTCTATTTTTTAAAATATTAATAATTCGAAGAATGACACTATATAATTAAAATAGAAAAAATTGAACTTTCAAAGGGTATAATATACAGCAAATAAATTTCCACAATTAATAGGTTTTTTTTAACTAATATATTTTTAAAAATGTTTCATGATTTAAAAATTAAGATATTTCTAAATTTAAAAAAAAAACATTTTTAAAAAAATTAGGATTTGATTAACATTTAGCGAACGTGAATGGCTTTGTTATAAATCGCAATAATCCTGAACCATGGAAGCAACGTTGCTAAATTTTGAAGTTGAGTATTTGGATATGAGTGTCTAAAAAAAATAATGTTGATTGATATAAAGAAACATTAAATTAAATATATATTTTAATTTAAAGTTTTTACAATTTAATATATAACATGTTATGTATATATAAAAAAATTCTTATTGCATTATTAAGGAAAATAATAGAAATATTATACTATTGATAACAAATTATTTAAAAGGCTCATTAAACAACTATTAATTAAATTTATCAACGAATTTATTGGTAAGTAGAACAAGAATAGCTCAAAATATTTTTCTGTGTGACATCTTAAAAAAAATGAAAATAAAGAAACAATTACCATGGCGGTATTCGTAAGTCGACATACCATGCGACATTTAGTCACATTTTAAAAGTCAATTGCTTTTATTGAAAAGTAATATTTGTTTTCTCAATTTTGTCTAAGAAAAAAATTAATTTATGGAATTAATTTAACATTTATATACTGATAAAATTAGAAATTTTCCTAAAACTTAAAAAACATGAAAATAAAGAAAGCCAAATTGTTTAAAATCAGGATCAAACCTTTAAAATGACCCTTTATTTTGCGACATATGAAATTTTGAAAGTGGAATATTTTTATTAAAATAAATATTTATTTCCTAAAATTTGTTTTAAGAAAGAAAAGATAAAAATTACTTAAATACAAATCTAAAGAATAAAATAATTTAAATACTGGATATAAATTATTCCTAGATTTTTAGATGTATAAAACAATTAGTGCACTAAAAAAAAATCCGATAAATTAATTTCCCGGTTCCTTTCCTTAAGGTTTGTAAATATATTTTTAATCTTACCCAGTATCTTTCTACCATCTCTTTTACCCTCTATCAACCTACAATAATAGGTTGGCTTCAGAAAATAAGACCCCCGAGGATCTCAGTGGTGATCCGGATTCTGTGTCTAAACTAGTGAAGGTCAATGGCCCTGTCCTATCGGTTTCAGACCGGGCCAGTTTGCTTTACTATTCAATTCATATATTTTTGTGTATATTTTATTTTATATTACTTTTCTAGAGGGGTTACTTTATGTTTGTTATTCTTTTTCATTTTAACATTTAAACTGAAGATTTGTATTATATATTATATTACTCATATTTGATTTGATATTGTTCAACATAAAATACTTTTATATTTATTAAAACAATTAAATTAGGGAAAAACAAAAAGATTTTTAAAATAAGAAAAAGAAAATTAAAGACCTCATGGACTGGTCTTTTTATTTAAGACATTGGTCTGGAACGATTTTCCAACTAAGGACCGTGGTCCAGTCCGGACCAAACACCCGACCGTGAACTTTTTTTTAAATTAAAGATATTCTCTTTAGACATGAATAGTTTTATAAATATGATAAAATTTTAAAATATAAATGGATGAATGCAAGAAAAAATAACAAATGCCCAATATGTCCACTTTTCAAATAAGACAGTTGCTCAATTTATCAAGGCATTTTCTAATAGTAGTTAATAGGAATTCGATTGGAACTCAAAGTTTTGACCAAATTATGCCCAAATTAGACAGACCTGGCTGTATTTTGGGATTGTTTGTGTACCGCTATCTTCAAACAATAAATCTGAACCTATTACAAGTTTTAAAACGAGGCTAATAATATTTTAGAAATATTTGAATTATGTTAAAGATAACAGCAACCCAAAACATTTATTTGACTTCGAAGATCTGGCAAATAAATTAAAAGTTTACTAATCCAAATACATAGGACAATTTTTAAAAAAAATCAATGTTTAAACCTTTCACAGATATATCAAACACAAATTTTTAATTATTTTATCTTTGATGAACGTGTAATGTTTCTGATTAGATGGTTAAGAACTAATAAAAATGTTAGATACCCAATTTTGGCATAATTCAAGCTCTATTCAATCATACAAATCATCCTAAAAAATCTTTAATCCTCAAGACCTGGCCTTATCAAATAGAATAAAAAAAATTATTTATAAATTTATTTTTTATAACTTAGGTAACGAAGTAATTTTGCCGCCTCTTTTTATAATGTTAAATTGTGAAATTAATGGTAATTCTAAGTTGGATAGTATGGCCTACACAACTTAATGGGTTGAGGCTGGCATTACAGAATTCAATAATTTTTAGAAACGTTTCACCTTTCAAATAAATAGATTTGAGAATCAAATATTTATTTCAATAAAAGTATTTGGCTTTAATAATTCCATTAAATATTGCTAGATAAATTTTCATATTATAATCTATCCTGGATTTTAATAATTTTTTGAGATAATATACCTTAACTCATTAATTTACAATTTGACGGAAAATTTTCAATAAAAATAATCGATTATGGAAATGTGACTAAATGTGATAAAGTATCGTGTTACAACACGTGATAAAGTGTCGAATGATAATATGTCAGGTTAAGAAATGACATAGTAACCTAACTAGGGATGTACCGATATTTCTTATCGGATCGGATCGGGCAGATATTTACCCATTTTAAAATATCGGTTATCGGCCAATATTATAAAATTTCCGATCCGTTATAAAATGGCGTCTTTAACAAAAATAAAATGTTATAAAATTTTTAAAAAAAGTTTTATCTAAAATCATTTATTTTTATAAATAAAATCGAAATCCATTTTTATGTAATATTTTTTTAATAATAATTAATTAATTAATAAATATTCTGCCATATTGTTATTTTTTTGGGCATTCTGTTTATAAAAGTGTGCGATAATCTCTTCAAATCAGTTTTTAGTGAAGCTGTCAGTTACCATCGCCGCAGGCTGACCTCTGATAAATTGGAAATTTTGGTATTTCTAAAAAGAAATCTTTGATATATTAATGTTAAATATTATTTTAAATATTTATTTCAAATTTAATATATATTTGTTTATTACTTATTATGTATATAGATTAATGTATTACTTATTATTTAAAAATGATTTAACAATAAAAATATTTTATTGAATTGAATATAAACTATAACTGATCATTATAATATATTTAAATGACATAAGTTATGGTATATCATAGATGTGATATTAATAAAAAGTATATTAAAAATTAAAACCATTGGTATCTTTACAAATACAAAATTATACATGATATAGGATCGGTAATCGGCCGATATCAATTTAATATTGTGAATATCAGATCGGATCGGCCTCCAAAAGTGATATCGGTACACCCCTACTAAAAACCTTTAAGAAATTTAATATATAACCCCAAAAATCAAATCGATTATAAAAAAAAGGATCATTAACTATAGAAAATAATGTTTAGAAATCAATCACATAAATATGCTGGTGTTGAGTTAATACGATTTTTCCAACTATTTCATGTGTTGCCAGAATCAAACTTTTCTTAATTCCTATGACCTAAACCGTAAGTTCCGGTTACAGTTCAGGGACAAAAATAAAAAGTCATGGTTCAACTGCTTTAACTTTAAAAAGTTCGGGTGCGGTTTATAAAAATTATAAAGTATTTTCGGGTTTTGAAATTTTAGTAAATATTTATATCAAATGTTTAAGAATAAAAATATAGAAAATACGGGCAAACGTCCATCAATTTTATTGAATTGAATATAATATACAATATAAAACTAAGTAATATTTAAGATTTATCAGTAAAAAAAATAGGATTAGATAGAACGTATAGGTAATATAAGTTCTAAAAGTAAACAGGGGCTATTCTTATTTCTAAACAGAAATCTCTTTCGTCATCGTCTATATATCTTCCTCTAAATAGAATAAACTCAAAATAAAATAGAAATATAGTGTCCTAGTTCAAAGTCTGAATAGACTTATCTAAACAAGGAATAGGTTTGTAAAATAAAAAGAAACACGGCCATAACATTTAATAAAATAAGATTTGATATTTGTAAACGTATATTTTAGTCGACCACTGTGTAAAATTACATAACCATATATATTAAATTTAAATTAATTTTATCAAGAAAGTCTTAATTTTTAATTTTTATTTAAATTTAAATCAAACTATTTTTATAAAAAACATGGTTATAATAAAAACTCAACAGAACTATTACTTATCAAATTATATTATTTTTTAAATTACAATTTATTACCAGTTAAGAAAAATTATATAGGTTTTGTTTGTTCCAACAATGTTTTGTAATTTTTCATGCATAAAAAATCTTTCAAGATGAAATCAAAAAAATTTTCAAAATATTTTTTGAAAGATTTTTATAACCTCTGGTTAGCTCCTTCTTAGTGATTTGGAAAAAAAAGATCTAATTATATTATTCTTCCAAAAATTTACAAATTCATTCCAGTATACTTAGGTTCACTCTGGGTCCCTGATTATTTCACTATAGACAAAATTGCGTCAAGATAATTTACTAAGAAAAATTTTCCTTTATAATAACTCTTCTTACGAGGTTTAAATTTTTTTGGCCATATCAAAAAATTTATTCATTTAATATAGGTGATCCAAGCAGTTATATTTAAGTAAATAATAGTCTTTCTCTTAAAAAATTTTTTCATATTAAACTTTATAATGAGCTGATTTGAAATTTTTCTGAGACAATTTTAGGTAATGAACCATGAGGGCATTCAAATCCTTTTCAGCGTAATGTGAGTGATGCTGCAATCCCTTGTTCTACATATTTAATGTTTTTTTAATATAATGTTATTTCTTTAGAAGATGAAAATTAATAATGAGAAAATTTTAATCAAGTTTACAAGTTGTTATCAAATCACTTAATTACTTTAAGTGTAAATTTGGCATAATTCATTCTAATTTTTATGAAATATATTTATTTTTTATATACCATTGATCTAAAATATAGCCTTAAGATTTTCTCATTTCAGGCAAACGTTATACTTTCTCAAAATCGTTTAAACGAGGGAAAAAAGGTATGTAAACCCAACAAATGTCCTTTTCATCGTCACTTTCCGATTCGTTATCAGCTGTTTGGGAATTGATGCCTTTACAGATTTTCATGGCTAAACACAAAGCGGAAGCTGCTATGATACTGGGCCGCTGGCTTAGTATTGAAGGGTCTAATAGGGTCATCTCTATGAAAAATTTGGACATCGTGTGTTCTTCGAATGATACCTTGTGGGGTGGAAAATTAAATTAGCTATAATATATGTTCACGAATGTCTGAGTATTTATAAAATGTAATAACAAGAACGCTATATTCCTCTCCAAGAACAAATCTTTTTTTAAGACACATTGAAAAAGCATACTATTATCAAAATATAATTCTTTGGGTCAGAGCTGTTCCTTAAAAAATATAAATCTAAGGTGTGCCGATTTTTTTTACTAAAAATGTTAATTATATTAATAAAAATCGAATAATTTATTCAAAATTCGTTTATCATATTTTCGATTCCCCAATTGTCATATATTATTTTGACCAATTCAAAAATATTGACCAAATACGTGGTATTTTTTTTAAATAGATAACATTTCCTAGAAAAAGAATTACCTGCGCTATCTTAGAATACCGTCTCAAGAAATGGATAGAATAAGGTTTGCTGAAGGCAAAATCTATGATTTTAAGTATGGCGATTTCCATGGATAAAATTTCTTGAATTGAATAGGTGTCCTTGGTGACGTACACGAAATCCCTGACTTCCATGATGTACAATTCCTCGAATTTGCAGGCTATAAACATGGAAGTCACGCCTACGAGTTGCAAATTTTTTCTTTGAACATCCTTAACACTCTTTAAAAAAATTTTTTAAAAAAAAATTATTGAGGGAGGGCGGGTGTTCACAGTAAATAATGTAAAAATTTTCCTAGTGAACTGTTTTATTATCAGCTATTTTTATCCTATCATTGGTTGAAATAAGTGGAGTGCTCGATTAGACTTTAAAAAAGGTGAAGTTAACTGGGATAGCTAAGAAATTAATGATTATCCTATTTCTAAACCAAAAGTTTAGGTTTAAAAAATTATATAATTGACACTTATATCGATTGTAATTTTATTCAGGTCATACTCCTAACCAGAGCTAATTTAATTTTTGAAAAATTAAATCAAATTTTGGACTTCCAGGTATAAAATATGTTCCAAATAACCTGTAAATATCGATCGATAATACTGACCGTTAGATACAAAGTTTCGGGGAGCAATTTGAAATGTTGATGGATTTGCATGATCCAGTCTATGAGTATTTGTCTCATACTGAGCGTTATGTAAGGGCTGGCGATGTAATCGTCCTTTAACGCTTGAGTTTGCTTTTTTTTAAAAAAAATATATTATTTTAAATATACCATTATTTTTCAAATATTAGATTTTAACAAGAATATAGACACACTTTTCTCATTTCTCTATCTGATTTTTTTAAATGTACTTTTAAAAACGATAGTTTTACATGAACTCGGGCAAAATAATATTTTAAAGCATACTTGGGGTAAGGAAAGTGATTATTTTATTTTAAGATGTATATTAAGGAGATTATGACGAGATATAAGTTAAATACAAGAAAATGTTAAACAAATTAAAATATTCTTTATAAAATGACCTACTGATGATTGAGTGGATACATAGTAATTAGATTTGTGTATAGACTATATGTTTGGGCTTATTAAATACAAGATGCAGAGACAGACAGTATTGTGATTGGTAAAAAAAAACTTAAGAGCCAACTATCTTTCAAACTAGATTTATCCACGAAAAAAATATTATAAGTAAAGGATTGGAAGTTTGTTTGTGAAATCATTATTATTTATTCATTATATCTAATTAATTATAAATTTATCATTAAAAAACAAATTTTTATATATTATTGACCAAACGATATATAAGTCTAAACTTTAAAAAAATTTATTTGTTTTGCAAAAGAAATGGTTAACTAAATGAAGGAGCCATCTTGATAATCGAGTTTACCAAAAAAAAATACCGACGTCAATTAAAGACTAATTAAAAATTTGTTGGGGCCAGACAAAATATTAAGGTAAATATGTTTGCCTCTGCTAGTAAATAAATATTCTATTTGAAAACGCCAGTAATAATATATCAAAATTAAATATAAAAGGAGGAGCGAATTGGGGAGGGGGGTAAAAATATATGATATACCTCTATAATAAACATATATTCGTGAATATCTTTGGCGTAAGTTGGCACACACAATTCATCCTTAAAGTCTTGACTATCCACATCGTATAACACTTCTTTGAGACTTAAAGAGGAAAATGCTTTAAGGGGACTTTGTATTTTGTCAATAACCTTGGGTTGACTATCTGATGGCTTAACGATGATAATAAATATATATATATATATAACAAAATATAATTTATAGTAAATTATCAAAGAAGGATAATTAAGATTATAGTCCAGTTTATGGCCCAAATTTCTAAAAAACCGGATTGGACCATGGTTCTTTTTGGATAAGGTTATCTCCCACCAAGATTATGAAAATGTGCATCTACAATATAATTTAATGGTATTTGGCTTAGCTAGATATTAAATTTTTTAAAAAATAATGATTTTTTTTGACTTTATATCAGAAATGGGGAAAACACTTTAAAATAAAAAGTCTTTTCAAAAATAATAATAACATTTGAGTTTAAATAATCTTTCGTCAAACAAAAATAATAGAATAAATATTTTTTTTATAAATAAACTAAAATAATTTATTAGCAACTTTAACAGGTCTCCTGGAATTTTGAAGCTCGAGAAATTCTAGTTCTCAAGATGCCTAATGATTCAAATATGAGATAAGAGACAGGTGCCCATTTTAAAGATAATGAATTAGAAAAATTTTATGAAGGAAAATTATAAAAGATTTTGGCATTTTTGCTCAAATTTTTTGTTTTAAACTCTGCTGCTTTTAGGGTTTAAAATATTGTCTTAAAGGTTCGAAATAAGTTACATACAAATCCTAGCAGTCCAATATCTTCCCCTTTCTTAATCCAGGTATATCATTATACTCTGGGTGAACTGGAACTCCCAATTGAAAATATATTAAATAAGGATCCCAAGATACGTTTTTAATAAAATTTATATTGTGATAAATTATATTTTTCTATATTAATTTTTGAAACTTAAAATTATTTAATATTGATAAATTTATGTGTAATGAATTATATTTTATATTTTATATTATAAATGGGAAATAGTTCATTTATATATTTTTTTGTAAGTGTTGGTGTCAGCAAAAAAGAATCTCATTACATCTCTGAAAATTTTTAATATAAGCATTTAAGAAAAAATTAATCAGAGATTAAGGTATTATGTGACCGCAGTTCCAAAGGCCATAAAAATTTTCAATCCGCCTTTTTAAGGGTTATTTCATAATGTATCGATCCAAAAAAACAAAAGAACGAAACTCAGTACGAAGCTTATATAATCCGTTAATTTTATACAAATCAGGATTTTAAAGGTCTAACTCAAAAATATCAAGTGCTTCATAGTCCAATGTGAGTTTTTTTTTCTTTTAACGAATCACTCGATTAAAGTAACAAATTATAAATTATTTTGTAGGCCAACGTTAAGATTGTTACTACAGTTGCCGCATTTCAGGTAAAAGAAAGAATAATATTTTGAGATAGCCCAATGAAGAACTTACTAAATATGTTCATTGCGATAATATGTAAATATTTAAGAAAGAAATAAAATGGAAGAATCAAGAATTTAAATTTTATTTCGTTATTTTTAAAATAAAAAAAAAGAAGCATAATAAAGGGCGTTATTTTTTTTGATATACGATCATACTGCAATGTTAAATGCGGTTGACGGCCTAGAAAGGTCAAATTTTTAAGCCTGGCCCAAGTTGGAATTTAAAGAAAATTTCCAATTTCAAGCCTGGACTTTTTAAAAAATTTGCAAATCGTTTCAAAAGGATAATTAAAATATAACGAATAAGTAAATGAATGTTATAAGATTTTTTTTTTAAATTAACCTATCTTAGTTAACCAATAGACAGTTAGCATAGTGTTTATGGTATGTTGATTTTAAGTTAAAATTTTATCCATTTAAGAATTAATCAAAAAATTTAATTATTATGTTTAGAATAATATCAAAATTATATTAACTGGTCCCCTCCCTAATTCTGCTTAAAAAAAATTAATCTTTAACCATTTTTTGAGGGTTTTATACTACTTCTACTATTTTTTGTATTTCCAAACATAGAAATATCAATTAAACTAAAATTAATACAAAATTATGTGCATTTTTTCTAAAAATTATTATGTAGTCAAAAATATAACTTATTAGCCAAGGTGATAAGAAAAAAATGGAAATAGATACAAGAACTTTTATGCATCTGCAAGGGTCATCATGCCATCCTTTTTTTATTTCTTACCATTGAGGAAAAAATATGGACACCCATTAGGAGAATAATAGTGATAGTAGATCTGATAACTGATCATGCTTTATTTAAAATTTATACCTACAAAAAATTCTATAAATATCAACAAATAGAATGTGATAAAATTTAAAAAATTTATAATAAAACCTTTATTTAATCATAATAATAAATTTTTATGTTACCATCCAAATGCTAGTGATAGGCATCAAGTGTTTATAATACAATAAAAAAAGGTTATTTTCAGAGCTGTGATCTATTCTCTATACTAAATGGCTCAGGTTCAGGGTCCAGAAAAATAATAATTAATAACGTTTAGTTGAAAACAGAAACATCAGTTTTTTATTTAGTATTCACCATATAATAATAATTTATCATCATAAATATATTATAATAATATTAAGTAAATTATCCTGATATTTTACTAAAAATTATCATAATGGAGAGAATAAATTAAAAAACAATTCTTGAACCCTAAATTTAAAAAAAAGAGTTCTTGGTTAATTTACAAAAATAGGCCTATTTTTTTTGACATTATAATTATTTCTTAATGATAAAGCTTTGCTTTCCCTCTATGTTCATTTTTTATTTGAAAAATTTTTATTTTTATTTCCTCCATTATAATTGTCACGTTAATATTTGGAGTATCATTGTAAAATGGGCTCTCAAAATATTTTATGTGGAAATGCATAGACACTGATAATATTTTATCCCCAATTTGCAAAAATTTTAAGGGTACAAAATAATATATTATTTTTTCGTTAAGCTAAATATTTTCATCTGAGATTCATTAAAAGAAAACCTACATTGGACTTCGAAGGGTTAGGAAATTTTTTAAAGTAATGGGTGGGCATGGGTGGATGAATTTTAAATATTTTTCAGGCAAAATGAGCATACTAGATTTCAATTTATTAAAAATAATAGCTTTATTTCATAATATTGGATATAAAATATGTTTAATTAAATATACATAAAATAAATAAAGAGCCACACTAATCATTAAAAATAAAACATTAGGTGGGTGGGCAGATTAAACAAAATTCATAGATAAATGGGTAGGTGGGTAAAATTTAAAAAAAAATATAAATGGGTGGGGCTAAAGCCCACCTATTCTACTTTGAAGGTCCATAATTCACAATAAATTTGAGCTAGAGCATAAAATGTTTGAATTCATAACTCGTTTTATTTGTTTAAAAAGTCTAAAACATTAGGTGTTTGACTTGAAATGACTCCACACTTATAGTGCCTACAAATTGAGCAGAAGAATTTAGCATTGTTTTTCCTATATATGCCAAGTTTAAGTTGGTGTATTTTTAAATATTAAAACAAAAGAAAACACTAAATATTTTGAGTTCTTAATGTAAAATATCAGAGACCTGCAGGCCCGGCCCGTATTTTAAATTTTTTAAATATACCCGAGCCAGGCCTAAAAATTTTTTTTTAAACATATCCGGGCCAGGCCTAAAAAATTTTTTTTTAAAATATATCCGGGCCAGGCCTAAGATTGTTAAACCCGGGCTGGGCCTTAATATTTTTTATAAAAATTTTTACATTATGAGTTAATGGTTATAAGATTATATTATAGTTATGATTAATATAATATTGGGTGATGGTTAACACTACCTAACACCCACAGATCGATCTAATTATTAATTTCCTGCAAATTTATTCAAAGTATTAATATATTTTATTATAATTCATATCTAAATTTTTACAACATATTTTACCAAAACAATCAAATAAAGGAATATCTTAAATAAGCCCCAATATTCAAGTATTATTAATATATTTTTTTATAATTCATATCTAAATTTTTAGAATATATTTTACCAAAACAATCAAATAAAGGAATATCCCTTCTTGAAGTTTGTAATACCTTTCAAAGCGAAAAAGGAGAAATAAAATTTATTTTACTTAATATAAAGCATTTTTTAATTGAAAAATTTGTTTTACACAAGTATCATTTTATTTCTCTTTTTCTCTGTCCCAAATTCAAGCAATTACGCATATAGTCAGGGAAAGATCGCAAGATGACGGAAAACTATATAAAAGATTATATTAAATTACGAGGCTTAGGAAGTAAATGAAATACCATCGACCAGTCAAATTACGACTGTTGTTAAACAAACTGAATCATTTTATGACAAATGGGGCGATGGTAATTCTGGTAATATGTCAATACCCGATGATGAATATTATAATTACATAAATAAAAAAATAGATGAAACATTTAAGGTGGATAATTTGCTAGAGTGGTGGGTGGCTCATCAAAGCGAATTTCCAATTTTAGTAAAATTGGCAATTCCTGCTTCAAGTACAAGCTGTGAGCGGAATTTTTCCACTGCGAGAATTCTTGAAGAAAGAAGAAGTAATCTTCAACCTGAAAAGGTAGATATGCTTCTCTTTCTTCATGATAATTTGTGAATTTTTAATATCTTTCTTGAGTATAGGGTTTCGTCAATCATGCTGGTTTTTTACTTTGCAAACTGTCAAATATTTATTGCATTTATTATATTTACCTTGAGTCATGAATGTTTTTAATCCAACATTTTTCATTATTTTTTTTACAATATTATATAATACAATTATCTTCTTTTGTTAAAAATTTATATTAATATTGTGCAATTAGATTATATTTTCAAAATACTATTTATTATACATGCATTTTAAATAGCGATTTATTTTTATTTTATAAATTAAATACAATATATTATATTCTCAAAATATTTTCCATTTTTATAAATTAAATATTAGTTTTATTATTTTTAAATGCAATATAAAATATAGTATATGCTCAAAATATTATTACCATTTTTATGAATATTAGTTTTATTTTTATAAATGCAATATAAAATATAGTATATGCTCAAAATATCCATTTTTATAAATAAGAGATTTATAATTTTTATAAATTCAATATAATATTCTCAAAATATTAGCTTTTTACATGTATTTTTTAAATATTAAGCGATAATACTAGCTGAAAAATATGGTAAAATACCTCATAGGTGAATTTTTGTATATACCAGGTCGAATATAATTTTAAAAAATTCCGAGCCGGGCCTGAAATTCTTTTTTTAAAAAATATCCGGGCTGAGCCTTTAATTTTTAAATCCGGGCCAGGCCAGGCCTAAAAAATTTAAAACCGGGCCAGGCCATGCAAATGGTACCTCTGCAGGTCTCTGTAAAATACAAAGTATTCATCAATTAGAAATAGCACTCTTTAAAAATAACAGCAAACCAAAAGGCTTAAATTTGTTTGTACTAGTAAACACCTTTAGGCAATGTTTTGCAGTCATTTTTTGTTACATCATTTAAGTATTGAGACAAAGATTTCTTCTAATTATTGATTTCAGTAAAAATTGAATATATAAATTTCAATCAAGAGAGATATCATCAAAACTACCACAAGATTATACATAATTATAAATTATTTGATTAGAAGCAAAAGATGAATCTATTCATATTTGTGAATAACAAATAAAATCAAATATTTTTTAATATAGAGTATAATTGAAATCATGGCTCTATTTAAAATAATCATTGTAAATTATATTAAATATTTGTAATAAAATAATATTCTTTTAATAAATATTCAGAAATAGAAGAGACTATACTAAGATAGAGAGGCAATAAGGGTAGTATTTTTTTTAATATATTAACAATAAATTAGCAAAGCAGCTTGAAAGCTTTTATTTGCATTAATCAATATTCTAGGATAAAATAATTTAGCAATCCTATCAATTAAAATGATATTGAAAAATTATAGATAAGCTATTGAGGAATGCTATAAAAGATTTAAACTTTGTCACAGTATTATATATGAACTTTTTTATTTTATTTGTGAGTATAACTTTTTTATTTTATTTATGAGTATACCTTTTTGATATTTTCTTTAATAACATTGTCTTCAATGTAATTTTTTGTTTGGTCATTGTCCTCAGCATTTTTTTTTGTTTGTACATTGTCTTTTGATTGTACTTTTAAGCCATGTTTTATTTTATTGTTAAGTATATTGCTTTGCATAACATTTTCACGTGCTCTCAAAGGTCTTCGTTTTTCAGGAATAACAACTAGAGGCTTATCCTTTTCATTTTTAATGTTGGCCTAATAAAAATAATTATTTCATAATTAACTCAATAAAATTTACTTTAATTCCTTCTTTAGGATTTTTTCTTATGGAAATATAATTTTTTCTAGCAATTAATATATTCGATGTCATTTTAATTTCACTCTTATAGGAAGTTTTCATGAATATAAACTATCAACAAATATTTTAAATTTATTCGCACAATGTTAATTGGATAAAAGTAGAGAAACGAATATCCCATAACTCCTTTATAAAAATCAGATTTACATATTTACTTTTTATAATATATATTTAATAATAAAATATATAAAAAAAGATACATAAATTATCTTAATATATAAGATGTGGAAAAAAACTGAAAAAATTAAAACAACTGCAAGCTCGATCTCCATATTTGGTATATCGATGATAATATAATAAGTGGACCACCTGTGGAGATAGTTAAGGCTCTATTGACCAAGAATAAATACTATAGAATAAATTGTGTGTGATTGTATTGCATAATTAAGTAGGAATAATAAGTGGTCTTTTTTATTTAATAATATAGTTATACAAAAGAAAATAAGTGGTGTTAAATGAAAATATATATCAATATATATATGTTTTATCGCCTTGAGATGTATTTATATACATGTTAATTTCATTGAATAAAAAGATAATATAACAATTTAAGCGAACATGCAACAGGCTCTAAGTGTAATATAAAAAATGAAGAAGTCTTTATTGGTCTTAGGTAAAACACAAACAAAGCCTAATAATGATATTAATTATAGTTTTAAGAATATCGTTATTAAATCTCCCACCACAAATCTCCATCGGTTGTGAGGAACCGATTCAATAATTTTTAAAAAAAAACCTTAACTAGCCTCAAAAACTTTGAGTACTTATATTCCCTTCATGCTCATAATACATATTATCTAGTAAAAAAACTTTTCCAACATTCCCGAATCCTTTATGTCTTAATATCAACTGCTATCTTTAACCAGAGAACTGAAATACGAGTTGAAGGTAAAAGAAATGATAAAAAAATTGCCAATCTTAGTTTAATGACCTCTCATGGCTTTAAGCTACTCTACCCACTTCCAATAAATGAATTTGAATTCGGCCTCTAATCTCTTTATCGATTAGCATATTTATCTTTTCGATGCTTCCGAGTACTACTATCCTTGCCTCTCATTCTTTTGTAATAGTCTATTTAATAGATGATTCTATCTCCTTTCTGCCTAACACAAATGTACCTGACATCTCTTCTAATCTTAACCAAGCAAAGATTGGAATATGCCCTTGATTACCAAGTATCGTTGATTATCTTTACACCAACTTGAAATCTGTTGACCATTTTCTTTTGCAGCTTTGAAGATCAGTTCAGGGCAATAATTTATTGTTGGAGACAATTCTGTCTAAGAAATTTAGGCCATGAGTTCAGTGATCAGAAATTTGGTTTTGCGCCAGAGCTATTCGTTAAATAGCTAACTCGATCATCTCACACAAATGTGCTATATTTTACAAACAGGAGAATGCAGGTTTGCCTTCAATGTATCAAAAGTAGAGGGCGAGCTAGCGCACATCTATGCAATCCCCTTATCCAGTGTGCTCTAAATTTAGCTGCGATTCATGGATCATCGGTTTGTTTCCTGTCAACAGTTGATCAAATAAAATCATGGGTTACATTGCGAAGATGGAAAGTTCTTAGTTCGAAATCTTTTCTGCACCGTCCTTCTGCATAATCAAACTTTAACAAAGATTTATTAGCAATAGAAAATTTTGAAATATGATAAATATGTGAACATCTCTGATCAATCATTTAGTACCAATCTGACCACTCTTACCACTTTTGGTTCTCAATCTCAAAACCTAATAAAATATTGTGCAGACGAATTTCAACCAAAATAAAGGATCTAAAAGAAAGATTTTACCTTGGCCAAAGGCTTGCAATCCAGACCATTAAATCAAATCCATTGCTTTATTAACGCATTCCTTTCTTAAGATTTTTTTTTTATTTGTAATATAGTCATTTAATTTGTTATTTCTTCTGCATGTTTTATTATTTATGTTAAATTTGTCAAAGTTATTGCATTTTGTATTATTAAATACATCTATTTTATAATAATTTTATTTATATACATTCTTATTTTGTATTAGTTTATTTATACATAAATAATTTAACTCATGATTTTGACAGATAAAACATTTTAAATAAAAAAAAGAAAAAGAATAAAATATCTAAAATATTTTATATAAACAATTTATAAGAAATTGTAATTATATTTCTTATGTGGATTATGTTTGTGCAAGCTTTATTTTCTTATACTACCATTATATCGATTGTGCTGTTTCCTTATCTTAACAATTTATCGTACCCTTATATCTTAATGTTCAAAGCCATCCATATCATTGCATTCATCAAAATAATTTATTACAGCGAATAACTTCTTTCTAAATGAATTAATTTATCATTTATTATTTTCCTCTTAAATTGAACCTTTAGTGGCTAAATATATTAGAATGAATTAAATCATAAAAAACAATTCCTTTATCTTCAATGTACCCTAAACCCATATCTTTATTGAATTACTTGCCTCTAATCGTTCTTAATATTGATAATCATCTTTTGTCAACCATGTCTAATGATAAATTTATATACTTAATAAAAATTCTATTGATTGTACCTCAAAATCTTTTAATCCTAAGATAAAATGTCATTTTTTTGTGTGATTGACAATGTACTTCATACTTTCAGAACCAAACGCACACACTAGTTGATATAAATCAACTGAAAAAAATTTTTTTATCCATTATTTTCTCCTTCTCTCTTTTCATAAAAGCAACTGAAATATATTTATATTTCTCCTTTATCGATTATTTTCTATAGTTCTCCTTTTAAAAAAACAACATTTCTTTTACAGCCTTTTCGGGGATCACACCCGTTATTCTAAGACAACCCAAATATATATCTCTAGCGCTCATTCTTTTTTAAATTATAATATTCAATTGATCTAAGTGATTAATCTTATTTTATATCGAAATCAATCTTTTACTTTTACTTTTTCTCTTCAAAATCTTTAATATCTTAATATTAGTTTTATTCAAATTAAACTATTTCCTCATTCTGCTGGATATTTTATATAAAAATTCTATAGTAATTAGCTATTCTCTTGTATGTATTTTCAAGGCTCTTATAGATTTGTTATTTTATTTCTCTATATTCACCTGATCAAAATGATAAATCTTAATCTATATTTTTTTGCTTTCTATTTTAAATATTCTGAAATCTCTTTAGTATAAATCAAAATAGTCTTCACTATTTTCTTCTTTGATGTTTCAATTTTTTGTTTTTCTTTCGGATATTATTAGATTATGCTGCATTTTTATTCTCAAATTTTATTAATGATCGACAATAACATTTAAATATATAAATGAGATCAACTGCCGCATTATCTTTATGATGGATGCTTTTAGCTTTCTGTAGATTTTGGTTAATTAGCCAACCTCATATTATATTAAATATAATCTTCTTGAGCCAGGCACGAAGCCAGGAATTTTCTACGGAAGGCGGGGGGGGGGTTTGGATAATTTTTTAAATGTTGAAATGATTATTTTTGGAGCAGTAAAAATTTATTAGAACTAATAATCATATAAAATTTATTATAACTAATCATATTTGAACATGATAATTTTGAACACAAATAATAAAATATTGGAATATAAAAAATATTAAGAGTGAATATAATACAAAAAATATTCAAGCTATATAAATCGGTATGTAAATCACAATAAAATATAAATTAAACATTTTATAATAATTTAGATGGTCAAAATATCCTTCATAAATGAAAATTTAATCTTCTTTGCGATTGTGCCATTTTTAAAATAAGTTTTTTTTGTGTTGGAAATTAGATCTCGCTGAGTACAGTTAGCTATTCATTAAATTTTAAGATGCCATACTTTTGATATAGGTATTTATTCTCTGTAATGTAGAGGCAGACCTCTCATTTGTGCTTGTATTAATTAGTATCATTATCAAAATATGTAGTAATTTTTATATATTTGTAAAATATTTTTGTTAAAAATGCAATGCGTCCATTGTATTTCTTGAAAAATAAATATTTTATTACCATTTAAGTTCGCAAATTAATTGGTCCTTATGTGCATTTATATACTCTAAATAAAATTTAGCTATATATTTATTTCCAATATGAAGATTTGATATATCCTCATATGGGAGTTATGATTAGTATTTGTAAATTGAATAGAGCCAACTGATAAATCACAAATCGTTCATTGATTTGAGTTAGAATTAAATCCAAATGTGGAACAAAAACGGTTATATAATAATGATCCTCAATTGATTCCACGTTTATATTGGAACGATTTGTTTGTCAGTAAAGTCGAGGCTTGGAATCTCAAAATTATATAATTTCGCTTTCACCTCAACATTCACATAAATCTTGAGAAATTCCTGGTCGATATGATCTCTTTGTCATCTAAGCTGTGATATAATAATATTAGTAATTTGCATAATTTCAGTAAAAAATTGCTGTGTAATAAATAATTTATTATTATATTCCAATGAAAAAATCGGCAGTTTATATTAAAACTATTAATGTATAAGCTTCAGGTGAAACAATACAAAATAGGCTTTTCTAAAAAGATATTGTAATTGTAACAACTCAATATCGAAGGTTCCATCTGGTCGTACAGGCTTTTTGCAGTGTTTTTAATAAGTTTTCTAATCATATATGTTAACATAGATATATTAAATAGAATTTTTTGGTTGATTATATCCATTAGTTATTATTATTTAAAAAATATTAAATAAATATTAAATTTTCATAAGATAAAATATTAATATACAAGAGATAGATATTTAAATTAATTTTCACTTTTTGCCTATATTTAGAATAGTTTAAAAATAAAATAATTTGCAATTCATAATTCATAAATACCTTTTCTTTTGTTTGAAATTCTTACTATAGGACGTGGGATTTCTCTTGCTGATTTCGATCCTGAGCCCTTATATAGACCTCCCTCAAGTTATTTTTTGTCCAGCAGCCCTTAAAATTAAGGTTAAACGTAGAATTTTATTAAAGAATGTAATTTCAACATTAACATCTGTTCTAAAAATAATTGTACATTATTCCTGGTTACTAATCTTATTCCCTATATTATACTCAATTATAAAATCCTTTAACCAAATTAATTGCATATTTCAGTCTTTAATTTTAATCTTCCAAAATTTTAAATTTTATTATCTTTAACCACCAGTATTCAATCTCTTCGGATATTTTCAATTATAGTAAATAATTAATTACAAATAATTCTTTAAGTATTAATAGTAATATGATAAGATTTTCGGAAATATATAAAGGAAAAAGAATTATTTTTGTCAATTTTTTTAAAAATTAAAAATAAATACGCCAACCAGTGATATAAATATCATCAATTTTAGATGTTTCTATTCTTATTGTTTGTGACTAATTTTATTACAGAAATGAAATTTTAAACCTTACTAATAAAGTATTTAAACCTTCGGTACTCAGAGTTTAAACTTTAAACCTTATTTGTTAACATTTAATATTTGAATTACGTTTATTCAAAAATTTATCTTCTATCATAAAAAATTTGTTTTAAATATATAAAAAAAACCATGTCAAACGATTAAGTTACAATATTATCCTAATGTGTTAACGCGTTAGTTGAATTGTTCTAAAACAAAATTAGTTAAACAATAATACAAAAATAACTGTGGTGTTTGGCAGTTTGATATATTAATTTTTATTATTATCGAGACCAAAGTGGAACTGTCATTTAGCTCATTATCGATTAATTTAAAGTTTATTATTAGTTTGTGTTATCAAATATCTTATCGCAAAATAAAATAGAAACAATAAAGATAATTATTTTTATTAACAATTTAAATATTTTTTATTATTGTATTTTTTTATATTTTATTATAAATAGTGAAAAATTAGAACAATAAAATTATTATTTGTTTTTCGTTTAAAAAAAAGAAGAAGTATATTTTTGTTTTCAAATTCTCAAGGAGTAAAAATAGAAAAGAAAATCGCAAGTAAAAAAAAAGGAAAAAATAAAGTGACCAAAATATATTAAAATAACCGATTCCCAGTTTTCTCCCACATAGTTAATAATTACCGATTCCTTGTTATACTTAATAATAACAATAAATTTTTTAAAGTAAAATAAAATGTATATACAATCCTAGGTAATAAAAAATTGAAACAAAGTATTTAAGCTGCTTTATAAAAAAAATAACAAAAATATATATATCAAAGTAAGTCTAAGGTTAAAAATTGAAACTGTTCAGGTTGAAGAAATAAAAAATATAAAAACAAGTTTTAAGTTACAAAAATAAGTGAATAATCAAAATTATCGACATTCGTTTAGTAAATACGCTTTACATAGTTACTACCAAATAAACTATTTTATTTAACTGAAAACTTACTTTACTTATTTGTCACAAGTTACCATATCTACTATCGTAAATATATATGTATTAAAATTAAATATAATTAAAAATTAATCAATTTTACAAGTGTTATAATTGATAAAAAATTTTTGTTTTTACATAATGAAATATTATCAGTGCCAATTTTTGATTCTTTCAATTTCTTTACTTGTTACTACTTTGCAATTTACACTTACTAGATTGTATTTTATATAAAAAATGTATATATTTTATGTTAGATATTTTGGTGTCAAACAAAAGATTCTTTTACAGTTATTATATTATTTTAACATCTAAAATAATCAATATAAATGATAAGATTATTAAAATTTTTATAATAATTTAAATATATCGTAAAAAATTGTATAGTTTTAAAATTTATTTTAAAAATGATTTATAGACCTCAGGCCCATCTTAAGTCTAATAAAATTAACTACGAATCTTCTCGTACCAAGATGTGAGCGAATTAAAAAACGAATTTGAATTCAATTATGCATTATTCATTATATGATTTCTTCGTACGAACCTATAGATTTACTATTCGTATTCACTAAGAATAATAAAATTTCATATGTGTATTCGATTCAAATTATTTGAATAATTCGTTTTTAATAATTTGGGACATGAAGGGGTGGGGGGATGTACTAAACAAAAGTTATATTTAGAGTCAATGAATCTTTTAAGAACCTATCCATAGCAGTTAGAAGCTTTTTTTATCAATCCACTTAATAATAATTTAATTATTAAGTAAAGAAAGCCATATGCATTTTTTAGAAGAATATAATTGTTAAATAATTTATATAAATCAATGATAATATCTTTCTAGAAATATAAACATCAGGATACTTTTATTCATATCCAACATACTTAATATTTTTTTTGCTCTTGGAGGACTCAAACTCCAAAACCACCCCGCCGTTACGCCACTATATTAAATTTCTTTATATTAAATGATGAAACTCAAACTTTTACAAACTGCTAATCTTCTCATCAGCATTAAGACAAAAAACGGCTTCTTATAATTTGTTGCAATAGATTCCAACACCATTTCTGTCACAAATGATCTCATTATAAATTTAAGGAGGTGGGGGGATGCACATTTTAGTATATTGATTTTATAATTTAAAAAAAAACATTGCAATAAAATGGTTTGAAGAATTAATTATATTTACATATGCAGTAGCAGTTATTGTATGGAACCAGACTAATGATAGCTCTTGATTGCTGGGAAATTGTATAAATGTCGAATAAATATCGATTATGATCAACTTGATGGTAGTTTACCAAAATTGTTCATATTTCAGTATTTTAGGATAACAGCATATTTGGATTTCTTTTTACCCAGCCCCCCTCCCAACTACGCCTTCAAAACAGAATATCTTGTAAATTCCTACAGTGATCACCCTTGTGTCTATTCTTTTTTAATAATTAAGAAAAAGGATAATATTAATAAAAGTTACTAGACTAAAAAATGTATATTTCTAGTCTCAAATTAGGTTGAGGGAAGCTTGGACTTAGTTGATCATTTTTTTAAAAAATGACAGATTGGGTAATATAATGCTGACATAATTTATTAACTCAAACACTTTCTGTTGTCGTATGTGATCATTTTCTACCATATGGTTTTAAAAATAATTTTTAAACCTTTACTTTTCAATATCATATTTACCTGTGTATATAGCAATAGATGCACATATAAAGGAGCTGTTTATGAATACGAATTGCCCTATGCAGATCCATTTTCTACAAATTATTCTGTCGATCAATATATTAATACTAATTTGAAAAATTATAAACATGTTTTACAAATTGCAGCTTCAAAGGTGAACCTAAATTGTTTATAATTAAATATTAAAGAATGCGATTTATGTTTACTTCCTTATATTTTATTTATTTGCTCAGAAATTGAATATAATAATATTTCCTGAGTATGGAATTATTGGTAATCATCATAAAAAGAGATCAGATGTGTACCCATATTTAGAAATTGTTCAAAATTTTAACCATGCAAAAAAATCCTATTATAATAAGGAAATTATAAAAAGATTAAAATTATGGGCCAAGCTTTACACTATATACATTGTTATAAATTTAGGAGAGGTATATAATATAGTATATATATTTTAGTTATATATTTTAGTTATATATTTTAGTTATATATATTTTTGGCATAATTTTTTTATTATATTATCTAACAAAATTTAACAAAGAATATTAAAGTTAGTTTATGAACTTGAGAGGATTATTATTAGCTTATTACTTATGATATATACTATTTTTATCAAATTGCAATCATACAATTTATATTGTTTAATTTAAAGGAGGAGAATTTCCTTATGATAAGTCAGTAGTTCTAGTATTATAAATGTCCATTTAACTTGCCAAAACTTCAGACAAGGAGAATTCTATTTATCTTAAACTATAAATTGTTGAAAAAAATTTCTATTTTGGCTAGTTGGCCTCTATATTCTTAAATGTTGAATATGTCTCTTCATAATTAGGGTTACACCAACATCTTTATTATTAGAGGTCTGCAAATAGCAAAATCAAAAAAAAAAGATTGGATGATTAATCCCTCTTTTCATAAAAGTAATTCCTAATCCTACTATTTGTTTTTAAAAATATTTAAAGCATTAATTTATATTAAACAATTTTAACTTGTTTTTTTTCTATTTCATTTTTACAATTTAAAAAAATAAATAAGTCAATCGATAATAACTCAACTAAAGTAATATTTAACTGAAGAAGATTTTTTTTTAATTGAATGAAATATACTTAAAAATTTAACAAGTAGTTTGAGTTAAAGGAGTAGGATTGGTTAGGGTTAATTAAGTGTTAGTTGGTTAAATATAATAACCTTTCAAATCTGTCATGTCATATGATTATAAATTGACAAATTGAAATTAAAATAAATGATCTATTGTAACCTTCCTTGAGTTGGGCCATGAATCAATCGTGTATTTATGAAATATGAAATGCTTAAAACATTTTTAATCTTTATAACTTGCTCATATTTTAATTATTTTAACTTAAATTGCACAACTGCATTCATAGTAGGATTTGATTTGGCACAATTTAAAGACTGAAAAATTTTTTAAATCTGTTTATTAGACCGATTTTTCTTTATTAATATCAATAATTCTTAGATTATTATCATGAATGCAATTAAAGATAAAATTATTATTAATAAAGAAAAAAATGATTTCATAAACAGATTTTAAAAATTGATCAGTTGTTAAATCGTGCCCGATCAGATCTCGCTATAAATACAACCTAAATTTGGGATTTTAATGATAATAATTTTTTTTTATGATGTGTAGTGCAATTTACATATTTCAAGATGTGGAATGACAAAAAATTCATTTAATACTAGCAATCGACAAAACTTAGAAAGGTATATCTAGATAGACCTGTGTGCCACCATGCAACGCTGCTACCGTTGTACTCTTTTTTTGTCAATTTTATAACGTCCGATTATTAAAATTATATGTTTTTTATTATAAGTTATATCGTAAAATTGCAAATTACATTGATATTTAAAATAAATATAAAACTCAAAATTTATGTATAATTAGAATTGATTCTTCGCAAAAGAAAAATATATGAAAAATATTTTTGTAAAATATGAGCCAACAAACAAGTTAAAACTTTTTTAATTTTATAGTTTTTTAACGATAGGTATATCTATATTTTTTCTTTACGAATTCCTTAAAAATTTTATTCAATTAATTTTAGATTTTAAGATAGTTTCAATGATCGTAGATAGTGAAGCAAATCGCTCCATTTGAGTCGATTTTTAAGAACTTCGAACTCAATATTTTGGTCAGAAAAATATTGCCTCTGCCTCAAGATTTCGCTAATAGATGTTCAAATATTTGTGCCATCTTATGAGCAAAATCTTTAGGCTTGCGTAATATTTTTCTGGATAAAATTACTGACCTAGCCTTTTTTAAAAAATCGGCTTTTGATCCTTCATCCATGATTAGTGGTTCAAAATAGCAAGTCTAGAGAATTGTCCGGTTAGGTGAATATGAGAACCACTTATGTTAGGACATGAATTACATAATCTTGTCATCACAGTGGATTAAATAAAGAAAGTAAGTTGAATAGAAAATATTATTAAATGAAGTAGAGAAATTATTGTTGGGTTAAAGATTTAATCAAATTTTGAAGGAAGAATAATTTATTTTTTAAGATAGAAAATGCCCAGAAGTAATAGAACTACTTCAGATATATTAAATCTGGTCAATGAATTCATGCGTTGAAGGTTTTGAAATTGATGAATGTGAAAATGAACGATACAATACACGCGAAGAAAAAAAAATGAAACTTTTAAACGAAAGTCGATATATCATTTTAATGATACTAGAATGTGTAAAGGAAACCAATATAAATCCAAATAGAATAAACAAACATGAACTTAAATTATTTAATTATGATTGGGATTTGATAAAGAATATCATGAAATCCATAGGATCATTAAATGATATACAATAAATATTTAATATCTCAAAGAATGTATTATAAATTTAGCTCTACTATTTCGCATTAAAATATCCATATTTGATCGTCAATGACAATGGTAAAGTGAATATATTCCTTCTCAAACCATATATGTTTTACAGTATTAGTCCCACGTTTAAACCATAATTTCAAAAGTTGTAAATATCATGAATAAATTATCTTAATGAAATCTTTCATGAATTATTTTAATAAAATTGTTAAATTTCTAATATATATTAATTAATATTATAATATATTTTATTTGGCAAAAGTTATGCTCTGTAATATAGGTTAGATTGTTATAAAATTATCAACACACATGGCAATAATGGAAGTTTTTTTTGGTCAGCTTATATTTTGAAGTAATAAAAAGAAAATCATAAAAAGATTCCTATTTCTGTAATAGGTGTCTGAAAAAAAGCTGTGAAACAAGATTAATAATGAGATTATCTCTAATAAACAAGAGCATGAATGCTATTTGCTATTAGGACAGCAAGCTAAAGTTGAAATTGATGTGTTGGAAAGAGTTAGAATTAACAATTTAGCAATATTTGCTAAGAAAATACTTTTCGTCCCAGCTACCAACGCCCCTTTCTCTGTTACTGGTTAGATATTGAATTCAAAAAGATTTTCATTATCTCCAGATAACTTGGATAAAATTATTTTTATCCACAATAATTACAATACAATGATATATCATCTGATATAAATTTAATATGTTTATTTGAATTTATATATGTGTGAAATTCATTTATGTATCCATTATATATTCCCCTTTTTATAAATCATATGCATTTTTTCAATATCTTGTCGCGCGTTGCTTAAGTTGATGATTCAATTCATTATCTTTTGCTAAAAATATTTTATAAACATTTATAAATGTATATTTATATTTTGTTTGTTGTGTAATAGAGATGTATTTACATTTAGATTTTTATGCTTAATTTTGTTGGCATAGAAACAAATTTATACAGTTTATCATATATGTTGTTTTATCGGCCCGCCAATTTTAGAATTTTATGGATGCGCCGCTGACCGCTAGTATAAAAATCAGGGTTGTGCATTTGACCGGTCAAATACGTTATAGGGTCAAATATGGTCAAATTCAAATATATGTTTTTTAAAGTTAATATTAACTTTATTTTGAAAATAATAGTAAAATGAATCTATAATATTAATTTTTTAAATTCATTGTCATTAAATAACTAACGTTTAGCTATCTGTAGCAGATTCTTGTTCTGATTCATATTCAATATTATCATTTTCTTTAATATTTTTTAATCAATTTTCCTGATGTCTTAGATCTTCAATCGATTTCTATTTTCATAAAAAATTATCCCAAATCGACCTATTTCTTTCTAAAGAAGAAGTAGAACTAGGAATTATTAATCTCTTAATGGGCATGGTTCTATTAACTTGAGGTCGCAATTGATTGTTTATGGAAATTACTACTTTCCACATAATTTTCTATATTAAACATGCTGTTTTTGCTTCTGAAATTAATTATATCACTTAAAATATTTTGGTCATCACTATCTTGTAAAATAGCTAATTCTTGAATTATATCATATACTTCATTAATTCACTACTAGTGAGATTCTCCTCTTGATAATGTGGACCCAAAAAATAAGCAAACATGTGATCACATGTATTTATATCGTTTTTATCTTTTTTAAAGATATTTTTAATTATTTTTCCTTTAAATTTTTTTATAGTATTTGACCGTATTTTACCAGGTAAAATACTCCTCCGGTCAATTGACTAAATTTGACTAATCAATTGACCGACTTGCCAACCCTGATAAAAATGCAAACCCGTCACCGCCGCTGAATCAATATATCGGCGCACAGGTCTACATTTGAGTGACTTAACATGTAATCCTTTTTCCAACTCATTTCTACTTCATTATTTAAAAAAAATCATTTTTTGTTTGAGAAATAAATATTCAGGGCCAAAAAGTATTTAAAATAAAAAAAATTATGAAATATCGGGAGATATTTCATTTTTACAGCTAATTTTAAAACCTACAATACCTAAAATAGATTATTTAATTTAGACCTTTTTAAAAGAGTATTTTCTTTAAAATAAGTAAAATGGAAGTATTTTAATATTCTCCCCTTCTCTAATTTAAAATATAAAAGGAAAAAGATGCCCTATTTAATCATAAATCAGAATTAAATATCAATTTTCCACTCAATAAGTTTCACATATTTATTGCATTTTCCCATTTTCACTTATCTACTACCATTATATATATAACGAATAGCTGTTAAAACCGTTATAAATTTTTTTAAGTTACGTCATTACTTTTTTTTTGTCT